ACTCATTTTTGCTAAACTGAAACTTATGTCATATTTGTTGTTCCGATGATGTTAGGAAGTCTTTGTTTTATTTCAAGGCTGCTTGAAACAGGTTATTTTAACAGAGTGAACATAATCAGGCTTTAAAATCACATCCTGATTTACATTAGTCTGAAATGTTCTGTTGCATATTGTAAAGTCGTACGTCAGTGCTATATGAGGTGCTGCTGAAACGTTCAAGAAGCAAAACTGAATCCTTGAAAATCAACGTCCCCTCGATGCATCTCGTACGTCTTTGATGGAATCAGTGATTCTGCAAGCAGGGCTTGTAATTTATGGTCTCTCACTTAGAATGGCTGATCTGTACGGCGAAAAATACATGAAGCAGTTCTTACCTGAATTTGGTTGCTGGGAGGTGAACTCACGATCTATCTGTGACAGGTCCATTTCACCGTTTACACGTGGCACATACGGTGGTTTTATTTCCTTCTTTTCGAGCTTCTCAAAATCGATCTGTGCAAAAAATGGATGGCATTTGACTTCGCCAAAATCGCCCTTCGCGCCAAGTCGACTTGTGCAGTCTTTATCCAAAAGCTGGAATATTTGAGAACTTGTTTGTAATGGTTTTACAAGGATTTTCCGTTCTTGGGAGTAATGAGGACTGCGCAAGTCGACTGTTTCTTACCATTAAAAATGAATTTTCAATACATTTAAAATTTTATTAACTTCTTTCCAACATTAAAATGTTATTTTATTTGAGTAAGCGCTCATTTGGGGCCATTTTCCACGTTTTAAAAAAGGAAGAGAGGACATTTCTGCAGAAGATTGTTTTACTACTTGTAAATCAGCTTCCTAAATGAATTTTTCGAAGTACAAATTTCCAGAATATTTTACCGCTGTTAAAATGTCCTTGCACGATGAAGAGGAGCATAATGTGATGCGCAGCTTCTGATTCAAAATCTTATCATACATCTCGTTTCGATTCTTGCTATAAAATGGAGGCTGCAAAAGCTTTCTCATAGAGTTAATTTGCATTGGTTTCCCTGCACTGCCCATATTTCTTACCTTACTTTGAACCTCGGGACCAGCTGCTCTTTCACCGGCATGTTTCTTGTTATCGGTGCAGCGTTAGTCAGATTTATTCATTGAGTTCTGTTCTGCACCTATCGCGATTTTTTCTGCCTACTGACTGCATGCTCAATATATGATATACCTTTCTGTCGGTGGAAAATGCATACACAAAAGTGGCGAATATTAAGTTCATATGCATTGTCTGTGACAAACAAAGCCAGTGGGAAGTAGCCACTGGAGTAGCCGACAGTAGCTACCTGATGGCAAGGCTTTTGGTGGCTCCTTCTTCCGGACGTTGCACAGAAGCGGGCTGGTGGTGAGACTTCCTGACATACGCCAGTACCAATTTGCCATCGAAATGAATGAATGAATTGTAAAGGAACTAGCTTCTGGAAATGTATGAGTTCTGTTTGTTCAAAATGTGGACTTGCGGTGTATTCACATTCTACACCAATCGCCTTCGTTGCTAAATACCATGCTGGGAACAAGTGGGTCTTTCCGCCAGTCCAGATCAGTTAATTTTTTCTAAGAAACTATGAAAACTGACCAATCCAGTGAGCATTTCGTAAAGCACGGAGCCGAGACACCACCAGTCGACAGTTTGGTCGTACGGTTGCTTGAGTACAATTTCTGGAGCTAAGTACTCTGGTGTTCCGCAGAATGTTTCTGTTGTATCGGATGGTTTAATATTTTCTTTGCATAAACCGAAATCGGTAAGTACGACGTGCCCGTCTCTGTCTAGCAGTAGATTTTCCGGTTTCAGGTCTCTGCAAAGCGTTAACTTTTTGCAAAGTTTTTGGAACAGATAGCGCGAAAGTATGAGATACGGTCAGCTAAATTATGCTTCGGCTGCTACAGAGTTTCAGTTTTGCAGCAGTACAAAAGGCCATTACTTGTCGGGCCTCGAGAAATGGAATTACGGCCGACGTTTGCAAAACTGCTCTTAAAGTTCAGTAGCATGCGAATGCTTTCCATCTTACTTGACGGGTAGTGAGGAGTGGATTTGAATTTTTATATTTAAATACTTCGTGATATAAAAGTGCTTAGATTCTCACGCATCTGATATGTGTTGTTTGTGAAGGCCTTTAATCGCTTTCTCAAAGAATCACTAAAAGGCAGTATGGGCCTGAAGGGCCCTGTAAGAAAAAGGAAAAGGGATTGGAATACCA